CTTATTGCTTTCGCTTACTCAATTTAATTTTTCTTTAATTTCTACTTTTCAAGCTTGGTTGATGCCAACGAAGAAGACACGGTGATCATGTCTCAGCTTGGCAGGACCCAATCCAACACACTAGCCATACCTTCAGACGAATTTCCTGGCACCCAGGCCAAGTGGTCTTCTTCGACTAATGGCTTCACTGGTGCTGATCTTTCGACACATAACTACGAGATGGAGGGTATATGTCTTCTGTTCTCCTCGCGTAAGCTCCAAATTATTTGGGTCCCTCTTCACATTTTAAACATTCATTACTCTCCTTTTTTCCAAAAAAAAGATGCACACGAACCTGAAACGTTACTATCTAGGTTTAGAATCGCAAGCTGCTATTCTAAATTGTATTTCTGCTTTAAATAGCAAAGAGTATACTTTATTGCATCCTAACACTCTTTATCTTTCGGTCTATATTAATATGGTTAGCTAAAGTCAATGGTACCACAAACTATGAACAAGCCGTTTTCTGCAAATATACAAATTTCTCAATTTTTTCCTTAATTTATTAGCATCCAAGTTGTTGACCACTTGATTTTATTTTTTAATCTTTATGCGCACAGCCCAGGCTTCACGAAAGACTAGTCAAGTTCAAGTTAGCTCTACTGATTCACCTGACGAGCCTCTTGAGTTCCATCGGACAGTTTCTGTGCAGGTTAGTATAACTAATAAGCACCAAGACCTTTTACATATATCTCTTATTCGTAATCATCCTCTTGCTTTATTGTTTTATCCTTATCTTTACTACTGCTATTCATAATCGTCTCTTCGGTTTTTTTTTTCTTTATTTTTATTATTATTGAAATTCCTCTCATAACCATTCAGAGATGATTCCATTGGATTGATGTCGCTTTATGTCACCCATGCTTTTTATCATCAAAATAGCTTCTGATTTGCACATATTTGTTTAACTTTAAGATAAATTTTTTATCGTTATCTTCCAGTTTATCCTAAGTAATATTTATTGCTAACCAACTAGCATCCTTGATCCTACTTGCTATTTATTTTTATTTTATTACCGCCTATACTAAGTTTGGCACTAGAATTTGATTTTGCTTAACTAAACTGAGCCAAATACACATTTGCTTTGGCTTTCTATAAATTTGCTAAGCAGGGTTCAGAATTGTCTTTAGGTCTATTACTAATCTAATTGCATTATCCTATTTAAGAGCTTAATCAAGATAGACAGAGTCCCCCAAATAAGCTTCCTTAATGCGCATATTCACAATTTCTTATCTATCTTTACTTTAATATTTCATATTTAATTTTGTCTGGCCCTTATAATGGTTTAATTGCATTGTGAGCAAAAATTATCACTTTTGGCTTTATTAATAAAAACTGTTATTGATAAATACAATAAATTTGTTGTTAAGGAAATTATTAGGAGACCCATAGAATTTTCCTCACCATCGAGCCCGGTTTTTCATTTCTAATGGCTAAAGTATTCGAAAGAAATATACCTAAAAATTTACTTCATGTCACTACATGCCTCTACTATTTTGCCTCTTTAGCAGTAATTAAAAGAGTATCTAGGAAAATATTAATATAAGAAACTAATTCTTTATAATTTGCCTGTTATTGTTCTAGTCTGATAATTAATTTGAAATTTTGTGTTCACACCTAAATAAAATTTCACCATGTAAAATTATCTTTGATAATAATTAATTTTTTGTCTGCCATCTGGCATCATACAGTTGAACATAGCCTACATCCTTTTCCTACCCTTTTTTACTGAGTCTTAAATGTATCGTGTGCTTATGATCAAAATATAAATTTGGAATTTTCATTTCGCTTGCGCAACCAGTTTTTGCTTTATATTCCTTTAAAAGTAGGATCCACGCATTGGAAGAAAATTTGACTGCTTTTACTAGCCCGTTTGGAAGCCCTTGAAGTTTAATCTCCTCTATCGATCTTATGTTGCTAAGATACTATAAAAGGCAGTATAATAAGTTTTGCTGGTAAGCTTGGCTGCTATTTAAGAATTTTTATATAACTATAAACCATGCCTCTAGACCCAACATAAATGTACTTGAGAAGCTCCACTTGTTTTCACGGGCGTTAAGCATTAAGGAAATCGTATCTGTCTTTCCATAAGGCTCAACTTATAATAACAAGACATTATATATAAGATTACTGGAAAAATAATTAATTATCATTAGCCTTTGAAGACTGTCTAACTTATAAACAATAAATTGCCCCGTCCCTCTTTCGCATTCTTTTTTATTTGTTAATAACATTCAGTTCACTAAATAACAGAGTGGCCTGTTTGCTTTTATCTCTCAAATGTGAAATGAAATAGTATAT